GTACCACAGTTTGTTTATCCATTCTTCAGTTGATGGGCACTTTGGTTGTCTCTATCTTTTTGCTATTGTAAATAGTGCTGCTATGAACATTGGTGTGTATATATCTTCTCATGTTGTGGCTCGTTTTTCTTGTGGGTAAATACCAAGTAGAGGGATTGCTGGATCATAAGGTATTTCTATTTTCAACCTTCTGAGGACAGACATGCAATTTTAATGAAAGAAACAGAGTTGATAAACATGGAACGACAGTGGGGCCTACTGCAGTTGGGTTGCCAAGAAGGGCCACGTTGTAGCTGGGACATGAGGATATGGAGTGAGCTGAAAAGGGGAGGAAATTTCAGGGAGAACTGAGAGTTTGTGCAAGGATCCTTGGTCCCTGGGAGAAACAGTGAGAAGGGGTGCTAAGAGAGAAGGAGGAAGGGAGGAGGCAGGCAGGGGTAGATCACAGAGGGCAGGGAGCCGCCATGGCAAAGGGCTGGCGACTTTGTTCTGAGCGTGGTGAGAAGCTAGCGGAGTGTTGTCATTGGAGAGGGGGACTGCATGTGTGGAAAGACCCCTGAGTGCAGTAGGAGCAATGGAATGTGGTGAGGTGCAGAAGGGAGTCAGGGAGCCTAGTTTGGAAGCTAACCAAGTGCTTCATTCCTGAGTGTCCTTCACCACGGGGTCCTGGAAGGGGCAGAGGACGGGTGGAGGAGAGGGGACAAGGACCTGACTGTCCATTTCTCTCAAAGCAGTCTAACAACTTTTGGAAGTTATCATGCCTTTTTTTGGCCCTCCATTTCCCTCTTCCCCATGCCTGGTGACTGTCAGAGAATGTTTCTTTTTGTGTGAAAACTTACTCTTGAGAATGTGACACCATACAGTATGAGTCCTTTTGTGATGGACTTATTTCACTCAACATGAGCTCCTCCAGGTCCATCCCTGTTTCGAGGTATTTTGTAGACTCATTGTTGTTCTTTAGCATTGTGGGATATTCTGCTGTGTGTATGGACCGAAGTTTGTTTATCCATTCTTCCCTTGAAGGGCGCTTAGGTTGTTTCCATCTATTTGCTATTGTGAACAGTGCTGTGGTGAACATGGGTGTACAGAAATGAAGTATTTTTATGCACTTGAGGAAAAAAACAACAACAGCTAATAGAACGTGTCCCCATACTATTCATTGGAACTCTGCCATGTGTTCTTTGTAGTAGGCCTTTATGTTTGGTTTCTGTGACTCCAGCAAGTGTCATTAATTGCCATTAATTAATTGTCATTAATTTGACACCTATTGTGAGGATGGTGCAGGAGTGGGCTGTGTTTCGTTCTGTTGTGCATAATCGGATTGCTGTGAATCGGAGCTGACTCAACACCACCTAACGACAACAGCATTCACGCCGCTGGGGCCAACTGACTCTTTGCTTTCCACCCCTCCTAGGAACCTGCAGTCTTTCAATGCTATGATCCTGGGCAACGTCCCTTTGTTCCAAACGGAAACCATCCTGAGTGCTCCAGAGATCGCTCTTCATCCCAATGCAAATGAGATCGACAAAATGTGTGTCCACTGTGTCCGAAACTGTGTGGAGATCACCAAGGTGAGGACAGAGATCTGGGCTGTCACCCACATGGTATTTCGAGGCTGAGCAAAAACAGCTTCCGGTTCTGTTCTGATTCGCAGATGTTTCCTCTCATCTTGGCTTGTCCTCTGCTCCATGTCCAGATTTCCCAGTGACCCAAGTCTTGACCCTCACCATCTACATCATTTTACCCAGATGCATGGCTGTGGCACTGTGGGTTAATGTGCCAGACTGCAAAGCTGCTTGAACTGTGAGGTCAGCAGTTCAAGCTCACCAGTCACTCCTTGGAAACCCTATACAGGGTCGCTGTGAGTCGAATCCACTCAACGGCACTTAACACCACCACCACCAACAACAACCCTTGTGGAGACCATCCCATTCTGTCTCCAGCCCAGCCCTCGCTACCACACGCCACACTTCTCTAGCCACTTGCCTACTCAATGTCTCCCTTGAAACCTCAAGGCTTGGCATGTCCAACAAGGAAATGATTTAAAAAAACACTTTTTATTGTGATTAAGTGAAGGTTTACAGAGCAGATCATCAGTTTTACATTTAGCAACTCATAGACTTCATTACAGTGATTGCAGTCTCCTCCATGTACCATCAGTTTACTGTGTTTACCTCTATTTCCTTTCACTTTTGCATTCTCCCCTAGGTTTCCTGCTCCCTTCATCTTTCTTCTACCAATCTCCTCTTGTACATTGTCTGCCCCATCACTTATGTTACCGTGTGTCTACCCTCCTACCATGATTATAAAGGGTAAAAAAATAGTTTCTTGTAAATGAAACATTCTGTGATGGTTACCAGGGTGGGGATTGGGGGGAAATGGAGAGTAGGCCTTGATGTGATATGTCAGTGCCAAATATTTTTCCCAGTCTGTATGTTCTCCTTTTACTCTTTTGATGAAATCCTTTGATGCACATAAGTCTCTAATTATGACGAGATTCCAGTTAACTGTTTTGTCTTCTGTTAGTGTGTTTCCAATTCTGTTTGACATTGCATGTATGCCATCCAACAGGGGATTTCCAATTTCCTTCCTGGAACCCAGGCCCTCTACCACTTGTCTGTCAGTGTGTCTGTCATTTTGTGGTGGCTTGTGTGTTGCTGTGGTTCCGGAAACTATGCCATTGGTATTTTGAGTACCAGCAGGGTCACCGTAGTATACAGGTTTTAGCTGAGCTTCCAGCGAAGACGGACTAAGAAGAAGTAGAGACAGACTACTTCCTAATATTTAGACACTGAAAACCTTAGAAGAGCAGTGGAACACTCTCAGCAACGGAATACTGACCATTGAAACATGATGAAGAACACCAGAATATTGTCAGATAGAGTGCTGGAAGATGAGCCCCTCAGGTTGGAAGGCACTCAAAATAAGACTGGGGAAGAGCTGCCTTGTCAAAGTACAGTTGACCGGGATGACATGAATGGAGTAAAGCTTTTGGGACCTTCATTTGCTGATTGGGGAAAACTCAAAATGAGGAGAAACAGCTATAAACATCCATTAATAATCAGAACACAGAATGTATGAAGCATGAGTCTAAGAAAATTGGAAGATGTCAAAAATGAAATGGAATGCATGAACGTTGATATCCTAGGCATGAGTGAGGTGAAATGGACTGGTATTGGCCATTATTCTGAATCTGACAGTCACATGGTTTGCTCTGCCAGGCATGACAAATTGAAGTCTTCTTCAATGGCATCGCATTCATCATCCAAAAGAACATTTCAAGATCTATCTTGTAATATAGTGCTGTCTGTGATAGGATAATATACATATGCCTACTAGTGTGGTGCTGCCGGTTAATGTGCTAGACTGCATGGTCAGTTTGAGCTACAAGGTTGGCAGTTCAAACTCACCAGCCATTCTTCAGAAACCCTGTACAGGGTTGCTGTCAGTTGTAACTGACTCGATGTACTTAACAACAACAACAAGGAAGACCAGTTAATACCACTATTATTCGAATTTATTCATTAACCACTGAAGCCAGTGATGGTGAAATTGAAGAATTCTACCAACTTCTTCAGTCTGAAGTTGATCAAACATGTAATCAAGATGCCTTGATAATTACTGGCATTTGGAATGCAAAGGTTGGAAACACAGGAAGAATCAGTAGTTGGAAGATTTGGCCTTAGTGATAGAAATGATGTTGGAGACTACATGACTATTTTGTAAGACCAATGACTTCTTCATTGCGAATACCTTTTTTAAAATCACATAAAAGTTGGTTCTTCACATGGACCTCATCAGATGGAATACACAGAAATCAAATTGACTAAAAATATGGAAAGATACAGTGGAAAGCTCCAAATCATCAGACCAGACAAGGCCCAGAGCAGACTGTGGAACAGACCATCAGTTGCTCATATGCAAGTTCAGGCTGACACACACACACACAAAAAAAATTAAAACAAGTCCATGAGAGCCAAAATATTACCTTGAACATATCTCACCTGAATTTAGTGATCATCTGAAGAACAGATTTGATGCAAAGACTGAAGATAAGAAGAGTTGTGGGATGACATCAAGAACGTCATACTGGAAGAAAGCAAAAGGTTATTAAGAAGAAAAGAAAGAAGGAAAAGACCTAAATGGATGTCAGAAGAGACTCTGAAAGTTGCTCTCCAGCACAGAGATGCTAAAATAAATGGAAGAAATGAGGAGGTTAAAGAGCTGTACAGAAATTTTCAAAAGGCAGCTTGATAACACAAAGTCAAAAATTATAATGAAATGTACAAAGACCTGGAGTTAGAAAACCAGAAGGAAGAACATGCTCAGCATTTCTTGAGTTGAAAGAACTGAAGAAAAAATTTAAGCCTCAAATTGCAACATTGAAGGATTCCCTGGGCAAAATGGAGTCCTGGTGTGGCGCTATGGGTTAATGCGCTGGATTGCAAAGTTGGATTGAACTGCAAGGTCAGTGATTCAAGCTCATCATCCATTCCTTGGAAACCCTATACAGGATTGCTATGTGTTGGAACTGACTCAGTGGCACTTAGCAACAGCAACATGGGCAAAATGGAGTCCTGGTGTGGTGCTGTAGTATAAGCACTTGACCATAAAGTCAGTTTGAACCTCAGGACTGGCAGTTCAAACTCATCAGCCACTCCTCAGAAACCCTATACAGGGTCCCTGTGAGTCGGACCCAACTCGACGGCACTTAACAACCACAACATGAGCAAAATATTGTGGTTGCAGACCATCAGTTGTGGAAAGATGCAGAAAGCATCAAAAGAAGATGGAAGGAATACACAGAGTCACTGTACCAAAAAGAAATGGTCAGTGTTCAACCATTTCAAGAGGCAGCCTATGATCAAGATCCAATGATTCTGAAGGAAAAAGTCCAAGGTGCACTGAGGCATTGGAAAAGAACAAGGTTCCGGGAATTGCTGGAATACGAACAGCAATTTTTCAACAAACTGATACAGCATTGGAGGCACACACTCATCTGTGCCAAGAAATTTGGAAGACAACTACCTGGTCAACTGATTGGAAGAGATCCATATTTGTGCCCATTCCAAAGAGAGGTGACCCAAAGGAATGCAGAATTTATTGGACAATATCACTATCCCGTGCAAGTAGAATTTTGCTAAAGATCATTTAAATTGGGTGCAACCATGCAATGACAGGATGCCACCAGAGGTTTGGGCTAGATTCAGACAGGAACTTGGAATGAAGGGTATCCTTGCTGACATCAGATAGATCTTGGCTGAAAGCAAAGGATATCAGAAAGGTGTTTACCTGTGCTTTATTGACTCTACAAAGATTTTTGATTACATAGATCATGACAAACTATGGACAATAATTGCAGAGAAGGAGTATTGTAGAACACTTAATTGTGTTCATGAGGAACTTGCAATTAGACCAAGAGTCTGTCTTTTGAACAGAGCAAGGGGACACTGAATGGTTTAAAATCAAGGAAGGTGTCCACCAGGGTTATATTCTTTCACCATACTTACTCAATCTGTATGCTGAGCAAATAATCTAAGACTCATCAACAACCTGCACTATGCAGATAGAACAACTTTGCTTGTTGAAAGCCAAGGGACTTAAAATACCTATGAAGATCAAAGACAACAGCTTTCAGAATGGGTTGCACCTCAATGTAAAGAAAACAAAAATCCTTACCACTGGACCAAAAAATAACATCAAGATAAATGGAGAAAAGATTGAAATTGTCAAAGGCTTCATTTTGCTCAGATCATCTATCAACACTCGTGGAAGTAGCAATCAAGAACTCAAACTTATGTATTGCATTAAGCAAATATGCTGTGCTGGACCTCTTTAAACTGATCAAGTTCTCAGTTTGAGAACTAAGGTGCATTTTCAATAGCCTCACATGCATGTGAAAGTTGGACAATTAATAAAGAAGGCTGTAGAATAATTGATGCATTTGAGTTATGGTGTTGGAGGAGAATATTAAAAGTATCGTGGACTACCCGAAGAACAAACAAATCTGTGTTGGAAGAAGTATAGCTGGAATGCTCCTTGGAAGCCAGGATGACCAGATTTCGTCTATCATACTTGGGACATACAGGAGGGACTAGTCCCTGGAGAAAGGCCATCATGTTTGGTAAAATGGAGGGTCGGAGAAAAAGAGGAAGACCCCCAGCAAGACAGATTGGCCCAGTGGCAGCAGCATTGGGTTCAAGCGTAGCCAAGATGGTGAGATCAGCGCAGGTCCCGGCACGGTTTCGTTCTGTTGTGCATTAAGTTGATATGAGTCGGTACTGACTTGATAGCAGCTCCCATAAGGTTTACAGCCTCAGAAACCCTGTGCAGGGTCACTATGAGCCAGAACTGACTTCACAGTACTTAACAACAACAACAAAAACAACAACAGTAACAATCTGGCCCTGCCCCAGTTTTCCCACCTCAGCAAATGGCACAACAGTAACCTAGTTACTTGAGCCCGAAACCTGGCGGACATCCTGATTGCTGTGTTTCTCACCCGCCTTGTCCCGCCCATCAATAGTTCTGGGGCACTCTCCTCACAGACACACCTCTGAGCTGAACCCTCTGTGTCCCATTCCTGGGTGCCTTCGGAGTTCACATCACTGCCATCATTGCCGTGGATTGTTGCCGTGATTTCCCCAGCTCACTCCCCAGCCAGCCTGTCCCAGGAGCCTTTGAGAACATAAGCCATTGACTACAGAAACTCTCCCTTTGCCCCCTTGTCTTCCATTTCACATAGATGGGAATCCAGAATCCATGGTCAATTAGCACTTCCATAACCATACATCTGCCCGATTTTCTGTTCGTTCTTCCGTCATGTGCTACCTTGCTGCAATCTCATTGGCCCTCTCTTTATGTGTCCTTGGAAACTGTGGTAGGAGCTGCTCCATTTGCATGAAGCCCCCAGCTCAGCCAGTGCCTCTCTGTCCTCTCACCCTCTTTTCTTCTTGTCCAGCATTTTTTCATGATCTGACTTTTTCTCACCTATTTACTTGCTTATTTATCTCTTGGTTGCCCCATGCCACCAGAATACAAGCCACAGGAGCACAAGAATGTTGTGTGCCTTACTCTCTTTTGCACCCTCAGCACCTAGAACAGTATCTAGCACCTAGGTGGCGCTCAGTGGGTGGGTGTTGCATGAATATTTGTTGGAAAGCAACCCCGAGTTTATGCCTTGCCAACAATGGACAAGTGTCATGCCATTTGGTATACTGGAGCCCAGTGTCACTTTGTAGATGAGGAACATCACCCCACTCAAGATACTGAGAGCTACCTCCCTCGCTCCTCACTGGCCTTGCTCAGAAAGTCACATAGGCCTCATGGACTGGTTTTTAACATAAAACTAACTGGAGATACTACACATAGGGAGTTGTAGTTCACTGTACTTGGAATTAATGAATAAATTGTACGTATTTAGTCATCTGTGCTAATCAAGTTGCATATGATGCTTCTGTTGTATAAATTCTCTTACCTTATAGGAAGGAGCTTTGGTGGCACCGTGGCTAAAGCTCTTGGCTGCTAACTAGAAAGTTGGTGGTTGAAACCCACTAGCCGCTCCAGAAGGGAAAGATCAGACAGTCTTCTCCTGTAAGGATTTGTTGTTGTGAAGTGCCGTCTAATTTGTTGTGACTCATAACGATTTCTGAGGAGCAGCTGGTGGGTTTGAACTGCTAACCTTGTGGTTCACAGTCCAGTGGTTGTCCTACTGCGCTATACCAGGACCCCACGCTGAAACAGTGGCCACAGGGGTGTTGGGAGGTACAGTCACTGGGCCTGGGCATTGTGGCATGTGTAGGCAACACCTAGACCTGCTTCCACAGCTGGGGAGAGGAGCCCCTGTTCTGCCGCTCCCCCACTCGCCACCGCCGATGAGGGGGTCAGTGGGGCCAGGCAGGCCCTGAGCCAAAGGAGCGTGTGGGCAGATGGGTTGGCCCTGGAGCAGCAGTGCAGCTGGGTGCTGAGATCTGGACAGCCCCTTCCTCCAGGAAAGCCTCCTGACTTCCCCAGATAAGCCAGGTCTCCTGACAAGGATTTCAGCCCTCCTGTAAGGATTTACAGCCTTGGAAATCCATGGAGCAGTTCTGTTGGTCCTGAAGAGTCTGTGAGTCAGAACTGACTCTATGACATTGGCTTAGACACCTCATAGGTGTTTTTTTTTTGGCATAGAAAAGAAAAACAATTTCCAAAGGATGAATAAATAGGATAGACTATCTGTAAAAACATTATAGCTATTACTCCCATCATTTCACTTCAGTTTAACCCCCCCCTTGCTCCACTATTAGGTACATTTGAAGCTTTTGGCTAAACTTGTATTATTTGACCTTCATAAATGTTTTCTTTCAAATGAAAAGAAATTTCTCTTTCTTCTTGGGAAATGTTGGGAATGTACATACAAAAAGAAAAAAAATCCTTGCAAATGAGCAGGCAGTTTAATAGATCTTAACTAGGGCATCTCCATGGTCTTCAGGGTTAACCTTCCGCGCTGAAATACAAGGAGCAGAAGTTTTAAACCAGCACCGTGAGGACCTCAGCTAAACAGTGGCAAAGTTAAAGGCTACTCACCTTCTACAGTGTTTGTGGGGATAAATAATATAAAACAGCCAGAGAGCCTAGCACAGTGCCGGAATTGAGGGGTTCTAGAGATATAGAAAGGAGCTCTGATAGCGTAGTGGTTACGAATCAGGCTGCTAACCTCAAGGTAGGCGGTTCGAAGCTACCAGCTGTTCCGCGGGAGAAAGACAAGGCTTTCTGCTCCCCTAAAGATTTACAGCCTTGGAAACCCTGTGCAGGGTCGCTATGAGTCGGAACCGACTTCACAGTAGGAGCTCTGGTAGCGTAGTGGTTATGAATCGGTCTGCTAACCCCAAGGTCGGGAGTTTGAAACAACCAGCATTTTCGTGGGAGAAAGGTGAAGCTTTCTGCTCCCCTAAAGATTTACAGCCTCGGAAACCCTGTACAGGGATCGCTATGACTCCATGGTACTTAATAACAACAAGAAAAGAGACATAGCAGCTATTATTTTGGGAGCAATGAGAGCTGGAACATATGGAAGGTGGAACCCTGCTAGAGAAAGGAAGCGCAGGTATTTCCCACCCGTAGACAGCGATAGAAAAGCGGTGCTTGCATCCTGTCAGAAGTGGGAAACTGGCAAGACCTGGAAAAACAACGCCATTCTGTTGGCTCCCGGCCCTCCTGTATCAGTCTCACCATATCAGGGGCTGAAGTACTTATTGTCCCCATTTTACAGATGGTGAAACTGTAGCTCAGGTGGGACTTACCTGATGGGGGGCTGTTGTGGGTGGGCCAAGAGGAAGTCTTGACTGTAGTGGGGAGGTGTAAATCAGCACATTTACCCTGGGATACTGGGTTGTCAGTTCACTGACTGTGGTTTTTCATCTGCAAAGATGGGAGTTAAGGTTGCTTTGTCTCCCCATACTAAGGGGGATGGATGGCCATTGTTGTATCTGTTAGATTTTGTGGCATAGGACGCCACCTGCAATCTCTGTGGTTTATGCCAGCAATTTTATTAATAAGTTCAAAGTCAGAGGGCTGGATTCTCCTGCGTGGTTCCTCTGGTCCTAGGAAGGACCACCCATGTGCCTGTATTCCACTAGCAGTTGATGCCCTCACTCCCATGTTTGATAGTTGTTGGCTGCGGTGCCTTGGTGCTCCTCCGTGAGGCTCTGTCACCGTCATCCACTGACTAGCCTCAGCTCCCTCACGTGATGGCTGCAGGCTGTCAGGAGCATGCGTGTGAATGCTCTCAGGTCTCCCAAGTCCTTGGGTCAGAATGCACATAGGGTTGCTTCTGCCACTTCCTGCTGGTCATGTTCAGTGGTCTATCTATACTGGTCAGCTAAGGCCGCCCATGGGTCGGGGAGCAGAGCCTACCTTTTGTTGGAAGAAGCGTTAGAGCCCTGGGGGACTTTCTGAAGCCTAGCATGGTTACTACTAATAAAGTGAGTGTCCACTACTAGCATGATCCTGACGTATCTAGAGAAGGCAGACCAGACGGGAACAGAATCATTGTGTTCTCCCTGCATTCTTACTTTGCAGCATTTCGTTCGTTGGATGAATGGCAGCTGCATAGACTGCCCTCCTCAGAAAGGGGAGGAAGAAGAGCTCGTTGTCATAAGCTTCTTCAACGACATCTCCCTGAACTCCCAGATCATGGAGCAAGCTGTTATGATCCCCCAAAATATCCACAGAATTCTGATCAATCTCATGAAGTTCCTGCAAAAATGGAAACGCTACCGACCCCTCTGGAAACTGGACAAAGCCATTGTGATGGAGAAATTTGCTGCCCGAAAGCCTTCTTGCGTCTCATACGATGACAAGCTGCAGTTCTACTCCAAGATTGCCTGTGAAGTCATGCGTCAACCTTTAATCAAGGACGAGCACTGCATCAGGCTGCAGCTGGGGCCCCTGGCAAACACCGTGCAGGAAACCGCCAAGTCGTGGGTGGTTTCTCTTGGGAAGCTTCTCAACGAATCCGCCAAGGAGGAGCTCCATAACCTTCAGGAAGAGATTGAGGTACTGGCCACTGGATCTCACCATGGTGGCCATCCTTGGAGGTCTGCTCTCAATGTGGCTGCATCCTATCCATTTTGACTCAGCGTCTTTTGACCTTTCTTTTCTAGCTCTTGGCCAAAAACCTGAAGAAGAACCCCAATACCCTTGAAGATCTCAAGTTTGTCCTGGCGACCATTGCAGAAATTCGAAGTAAATCTTTAGTCATGGAACTGAGATACAGGGATATCAAGGAGCGGTACCGGACCCTGGCAATGTATAACATCATAGTAAGTGAATGGGTCTGTTCTTAAGCCTTTAACCGCTGAGAGATAAAGGTTGCTAGTTGCTGTCGAGCTGGCTCTGACTTATAGTGACTATACCAATAACAAAACACAGAGCAGACTAACCAGATGGTCAGTGATGGCACTTATTACCAATCTATAGTGCACCATTTCACGTGTGCTATGTTGTTGTTGTTAAGTGCCATCGAGTCGGTACCCTATGTACCCTATGTGACCCTTTGCACAACAGAACGAAACATTACTCGGTCCTGGGCCAACCTCGCTATTGTTGCCACACTTGAGCCCATTGATGCTGCCACTTTGCCAATCCATCTCGCTGGGGATCTTCCTCTTTTTCTCTGACCGTCCGCCTTACCAAACATGATCTCCTTCTCCAGTGACTGGTCCCTCCTGACAATATGTCCAAAGTATGAGAGACAAAGTTTGGCCATCTTGGCAGCCAAAAAGCACTCTGGCTGCACTTCTTCCAACACAGATCTGTTTGTTCTTTTGGAAGTCCATGGTACTTTCAATTTTCTCCTCCAACACCATAACTCAAAATCATCAATTCTTCACGGTCTTCCTTATTCACTGTCCAGCTTTCATATGCATATGAGGTTATTGAAAATACCATGGCTTGGGTCAGGCGCACCTTATTTCTCAAGTTGACATCTTTGTTGTCAACACTTTAAAAAGGTCTCGTGCAGCAGATTTACCTAATGCAATATACTGTTTGATTTCTTGACTGCTGTTTCCATGAGTGTAGACAGTCGATCTAAGAAGAATGAAGTCCTTGACAACTTCAGTCTTTTCTCCGTTGTTAAAATGTTGTTTATTGATCCAGTGGTGAGGATTTTTGTTTTCTTTACATTGAGATGTAATCCATACTGAAGTCTGTGGTCTTTGATCTTCATCAGTAAATATTTTAAGTCCTCTTTACTTTAAGCAAGTGAGGTTGTATCATCTGCATATGGCAGGTTGTTAATGAGTCTTCTTCCAATCCTGATGCCACATTTTTCTCCATATAACCCAGCTTCTCGGATTTTTGGCTCAGCATACAGGTTGAATAAGTCTGTTGAAAGAATACAACCCTGTTATACACCTTTCTTAATTTTAAACCATTCAGTGTTCCCATGTTTTGTTCGAAAAACTGCCTCTTGGTCCATGTACAGATTCCTCATAAGTACAATTAAGTGTTCCAGAATACTCATAATTTGCAGTGTTTTCCATAGCTTGTCATGATCTTCACAATTGAAAGCCTTTGTGTAGTCAATAAAGCTTCCCCTAGTCAAGTTCTGATTATCAAGCCATCAAGGCTAGGACAAATAGGTACTGTCTGCAAGTTTGGGTGTTCTTGTGCATCTCCCCTCACTTCGTATCAGCTGGATGCTTCACCCTTAGCTCTAGTCCTTTGTGGCTATGTCCTTGTCCATGGGCTCAGGTGTCCCCAGGTCTCAACACACTTTGGACCAGCCAGCCCTTACTCCTCTCTCTCTCATCTCCGGGTCAATGGCAGTCTGTGGAATATGGTTGAACTCAGCCCATTTCTTCACTGCTGCCTATCCCTCTCTTCCACTCACCAGTATACCAGTGTGGTCACCAGCAAGCTTACATGCCGGCTCATATGTTACCTTTGAGTTTCAGTCTTGGAGGGGATTTGTCCTGAAGGGACTTGATTGCTTGCCTTGATGGCTCCCTGGCAAACAACTTGCTTGTTCCTGTAGCCAATCATACTGCCATTTTTTTGGATTTTTCCTGCTCATCTGAAGATACATTTGAAGATGTATCTTCTGTTGCTCTAGCTGTACCAGGCTGGTCTGCTTGTCCTTTTTAGTGGGAATATCCCACCTCAGAAAGTTCTGGATGGGACTCAGGATTGCACCTAAGGTCCTATACACTGCAAAGGCTCTTTAAGAAGCCTATTTCACTGGGCAAGTTCTAGAACCCCTTTTAGGTATTCCAGTCAGTTATAGGCAGAAGATGGGCTTACAAGCTTTCTGTAATCATATTTCCTGGTGTTCCTTTTCATGCCACTCAAGTGTCTATTTTACAGTAGTAGGCAGGGGAAACCAATATTCATAAGACAGTCAAGCATCTTAACATTATTACTTCCCCTCTTCAGACTATGGCTCGATTCCTGTATCCCAGAGCCCTGTTGTTCCAAGGTTGAGCATGCATCACTGTTTACCTCTGTTTGAGCAATAGCTTTTGACCTGAAAGTAATGTCCTTCCAAATTGCTGATCCCATTCTGTTTGTTCTGTTCTTCATTAGCCAACTGATGCAGAGAAAGAACTGGTGGGAAGGATCGAGACCATGTGGTCAACTCTGCTCAGTGACTCGTTGAACGTGGAGCACACTCTTGGGGGCATAAAGAGAACGTTCACAGAGGTACCATTTAGGGTTTTGGGTAAAGATGTTGAAAAACGTTCAGCGGGCCAACCTAAAATGTCCACGCTTTTCTTAGATCACTCGAAGCGAAATTTCAAACTACAGGCAGATGATAGAAAAATTTGCTGAACGTTTTTACCATGAAGGCCCTGGTTCTGTTGGTGAAGATCTTGATAAAGGTAAGAATGTTTCTGTTGGTCTTACTGAAGTTCAGTATCTACATTTTATTAAGAATTTGGTAGAAAGTACTCATTTCTTGGATAGTTTCAGTGGTTTGCTGTACAGAAAACTAGAGTAATTCAGTTCATTACAATTGAGTCCAGGCATAGCTTGGAGATATTGTGGGTTCAGTTCCATATCACCCAATGAAACGAATACTGAAATGAAGCTAGTCACAAGCAATTTTTGGTTTCCCAATGGCATTAGGCTGCTAAATATAAGATTGATTGTTCAAACCCATCAGCTCCTTGGGGGAAAGATGAGTCTGTCGGCTCCCATAAAGATCTGCAGTTTTAAAAACCCTCGACAGAATCCCTATGAGTTGGAATTGACTTGATGGTAGTGAGTTGTATTGTCATTGTTGTAGACTATTAAGTATACCAGCATGCCTCTGTCACTGTGTTGTTACTGTGATGCTGGAAGCTATGCCACCGATATTTAAATTACCAGTAGGGTCACCCATGGTAGACAGGATTCAGAGCTTCCAGACTAAGACAGACCAGGAGTAAGGAGAAGTGTACCATTTCTGAATAGTTAGCCACTGAAAATGTTATGGATTACAGTGGACCATTGTCTGATACGGTGCCAGAAGAGGTTGTGTTTTGCAACTGGGAAGAGCTACCTACCTCCTCAAAGTAGAGCTGCCCTTACTGAGGTGGATGCAGTTAGGCATTGAGGACCTTCATTGAGCTGTAGCACAACTCAAAATAAGGAGAAATAGCTCCATTCATCCTTTAATAATCATGAAATAGAATTACGGTGTATGAATCTAGGAGTATTGGAAGTCATCGGAAGTGAAATGGAACATGTAAAGATCGATCTCCTAGGCATTAGTGATCTGAAATGGACAGGTGTTGAACATCTTGATTTGGGCATTCATATGGTTTACTATAGCAGGGATGACAAATTGAAGACAAAGGAAGAACTGTGCAGAGACCTGAACTTAGAAAACCAAAAGGGAAGAACATACTCAGCAGTTCTCAAGCTGAAAGAACTAAAGAAAAAAATTCAAGCTTTGACTTGAAATATTGAAGGTATTCTATGGAAGCCCTGGTGTGGCGTTGTGGGTTGATGTGCTGGACTGCAGTCATTTGAACTGCAAGCTCGGCGGTTCAAGCTCAACAGTCACTCCTTGGAAACCCTACACAGGGTCGCTATGGGTCGGAACGGACTCGACGGCACTTAACAATAACAATGGGCAAAATATTGAATGATATAGAAAGTATCAGAAGATAAAAGGAATACACAGAGTCACTGTACCAAAAAAAACCTGGTCAGTGCTTAGTCATTTCAAGAGGTAGCATATGATCAAGAACCAGTGGTATTGAAGAACGAAGTCCATGCTGCACTGAGAATATTGGTGGAAAACAAGGCTCTGGGAATTGATGGAATACAACTTGAAATCTTTGCAATAAAGTGATAGAGTGCTGGAGATGTTCCCTCATCTATGCCAAGAAATTTCGAAGGCAGCTTTCTGGCCATCCAGTTGAAAGAGATCTATATTTATGTCCGTCCCAAAGAAAGATGACCCTACAGTATACAAAAGTCATTCAACAGTATTATTCAAATTGTTGCTGTAGTTGTTGAGTGTCGTGGAGTTGGTAGTGACTCAGCAACCCTATATAGGGTTTCTGAGGAACAGCTGGTGGGTTTGAACTGCTGACCTTGTGGATCGCAGTTCAGTGCTGATTCTACAGCACCACATACGTAAGTAAAATTTTGCTTAAGGTAGTTAAAAAATGGTGGAAACAGCACATTGACAGGAAACTGCCAGAAATTCAAGCAGGATTCAGAAGAGGACATAGAACTAGGGGTATCATTGCTGACATCACTTGGCTGAAAGCAGACAATACCAGGAAGATGTTTACTTGTGCATTACTGCCCACCCAAGGCGTTCGGCAGTGTGGATCATAACAAACTATGGGGTAACACTGCGAAGAATGGTTATTTGAAAACACTTACTTGTGAACCTGTACATAGACCACGAGGCAGTCATTTGAACAGAGCAAGGGGAAACTGAATGGTTTAAAATCAGGAAAGGTGTGTGCCAGGGTTGTATCCTTTCCATAATACTTATTCAGTCTCTATGCTGAGCAAATAATCTGAGAAGCTGGATTATATGAAGAAGTATGTGGCATCAGGATTGGAGGAAAACTCATGAACAACCTACAATATGCATATGACACAACTTTCCTTGCCGGAAGCAAGATGACTTATGATACTTACTGATGAAGATTAAAGACTGCATCTTTCATTATAAACCTCAGTGTAAAGAAAACAAAAGTCTTCACGAGTGGACCAATAAATAACATCATGATAAATGGAGAAAAGATTTAGGTTGTTAAAGACTTCGTTTTGCTTGGACCCACAATCAACACTCCTGGGAGCAGCAGTCAAGAAATCAAATGACGTATTGAATTAGGTAAATCTGCTGCACAAGACCTCTTTAAAGTGCTGAAGACCAAAGATACCAGTTTGAGAACTAAGGTGCATCTGAGCAAACCATGGTATTTTCAGTCGCCTCTTTTACATGTGACAGTTGGACAGTGAATACGGAAAACCACAGAAGATTCTATGCATCTGAGTTATGGTATTGGAGAAGAATATTGATGGTACCATGGACTGCTAAAAGAACAAACAAATCCGGGTTGGAAGAAGTACTGCCAGAATGCTCCTTAGAATCCAGATGGCAAGGCTTCACCACTTGTTCTTTGGACCTTTTGTTAGGAGCAACCAGTCCCTGGAGTAGGAATTGTGCTTGGTAAAGTGGAAGGTCAGCTAAAAAGAGGAAGACGTCTCAACAAGTTGGATTGACACAGTGGTAGCAATAATGGGCTCAAATGTAACAATGATTGTGTGGTTGTTGCAGGAACGGTCAGTATTTTGTTCTGTTGGACATAGGGTCACTATAGTTGGAAATGACTTGATGATTTCTACCACCATCACCAACAACAATTAAGTGTGTAATAGGAGCACCGGTGGTTCTGTGGGATAAGTAAGCACTTGCTATCCACTGGGTCGGCGGTTCAAATCTATTAGCAGCTCCGTAGGAGAAAGTTGAGGCTGTCTGCCCCATCAGTTCCCAGATCTGCATCCTTCGACACCTCTACATGGTTGTTATGAGTCAGATTGATTCAGGGGCATTGGTTTGGTTTGATTTGGTTATTTAAGTGTGCAGTAGCATGAGGCAAAGGGGTGAAATCTTGTGAGAATGACCAAAATGGGCCACAGAGACAGGAAGTGAGCGTGTGATGTTGGAAAAATGGCTCTAAGAGACTTGTTCAACGCAGGGTTACCACAGCCTTCAGGCTACAAACGTGTGAAGTGCGAAAATGAACCACAGCAAAGGGAGTCTTGCCTGTATCTGCTGTGTGGAGAGATTAAGAATTGCTGTTGGACAGGGTTCAGCACTGCAGGGAACACAGAGCTCTGCTGTGGCACAGACTTCTTGCACGCCACCATCTCCCTCTGCTGAAAACGAGCTCTGCTCCTTCCAGCGGCCCCACTGCCTGACTTCTGTTAGACTTCACTTTGCTCTTAGATCCGTGAGCACTCCATATTCGCTCCCTACTCTTCGAACACCATCACCTCTGCAAAATGGGTATAACAGTCCCAAGCTCCCATGATTTTGTTTAGTACCTTCCCTAGCACAGAGCAGGTTCTCAGTAACTGCTGGGGCTCTCCAGTATGGTGGACAGTCCCCATTTCCCCCTGCTCTGCAAACTCTCATTAGCATACAGACTGACACAGCTCTCCTCAGTGACGATCACACGTGGGGACTGGCGCTTAAACATGGCAGCTGGCAAGTTCTGAGGATTCTGATGACTTGGGGTACAAACCATTTGTCAGCTACTGAGAAGGAAAAATAGTGTAAGCTATGTGTTCAAAATGCAAAGATTCCAAGGTACCCAATAACAGGATGCAGTAAATTGTGGACAGGATAAAGTAGGTCTGGGCCTATGTACATGGGTTACGGGATGTAGCACCTTGGATATCATAATTAGAAAGTAGGGAATCAGGGTCTTGGATGATAAGATGGAACAGTGGTTGTTTACCTTGTCTGCACATTGAGCTTTCAAAACCGCTCCAGGGAGCTTTCAAAACCGCTGGTTCCTGGGGCCCACCCCTAGAGACTGAGTCCATTGGTCTGGTGAGTGGTCTGGGCATCAGGAGCTGTACAAACTCTGGCACTTCTAAGGTGCAGTGGAGGTGGAGAGCCACTTGGAGAGACATGGCTCAGTTGGCAGAATGTACAAATGGTTGGAATGAGCACTATCACCAGCCCTGTGGTTTTAGTTAGGCTGAAAGTGGAATGCCTAGCGACTATCATTTTGCCTTCCCAGGTAGCTGGACACAGGTGGGAGTATAATTTACATACAATATTCGAGATTCCTATTTTTGTTTTGTACACCTGGAACGCTCTTTTCTTTATTTGTTAGGAATGGACCTGTTAGGCAGTTATGAACAGGAGCTAACAAAACATGAGCGTAACCGACAGGAGTTGGCCAATGCTGAGAAGCTCTTTGATCTCCCTATTACAATGTACCCAGAGCTGCTCCAAGTCCAAAAGGAGATGAGCGGGCTGAAGATGATCTATGAGCTCTTCAAGGCACTCAAGGTGAGCGCTTGCTGATGTCCAGGGGCCCTGCGGCCCTATCTCAAAGATGACCATGCTTCTGATTTCAGAAGACGCTCAGTTGGAGGCCTGGGACCCGGTCGGCTGGGCTGTGGGCTGTGGGCTGAGCTCCTTAGTTGGAATCTGAAAGTGAAAACAGTGCCATCACTTGCCTGCTTCTCTTTAGTGTGCCTCCCATATGCAAATCCATTCCATTCCCTTACCCCAGGTGTCCTCCTTTTTTAGCCTGGCTTCCTGCTGGCCCAGAAGGGGGTTCTGTCAGTCCATTCCTACCCTTGTCATCCAGGCCCCCAGAAGAAACTGACACATAACAAATCACCACATAGCGAAGATATGTGACAGAAATGAACTGTACATGGTGCCACGGTGCCCAGAGAAAGGGAGCGGCATGAAAACCAGAGATGCGTTGTAATTTCATCTATACCCGAAGTTAACAAAGTAGAATGCATGTGTTTCATGAAACCTGGTGCCCTCTGTTGATTCTGACACATATCGACCCATAGGACACAGTAGAACTGCCCCATAGGATTTCCACCATGCTAAATCTTTCCAGACCCCCACATCTGTTTCCCGCAACACAGTGGTTTGAACTGCCCACCTTTTGGTTAGAAGTTGAGTACTTTAACCACACCGTCACCAGCACTCCCTATCTATGTCGTTAACACAATTTCCTGTGAAAATTTGTTTCACGACTTCAGACAGTTTTGTCAAGCTGTTAAATGTTGTCAATGCAAGCAGCCCAAACGGTGAACTTCACAGCAACAAAGTACTTCCCTTTTAGCGTAGGACTATCTGAGGGGACTTCAAAAAGCTTGTGGGAAAATTTCATAATAATTGAATTCCACATTTACACATACTTTGTGAAGTCCTCCCCCCCGCTCAATGTCCTTTCTTTATGATGGTCAGTTAGTCAGTCAGGATTTAATTGTAGTTCAGTCTCTGCCTGATGACAGGAGACAGGTGCACTGTAAGAGGGGAGGTTATTTGGTGACCTCAGCATCTTTCCGTAGGACAGGGAAGCAGGTTAGCACAGAGCCTGGAAGAGTGATGCCCAGACCCAAGTGGTTTCCTGATTCATCTTCTCTGGTTTGGGGAATCTCACTTTTTCTCTTAAGGAAAGAAGTATGTAGTTTTAACTTCATACATCTTCAGATACAGCATATAATTTTTGTGAGGACTTCAACTAAGTTTGAGTTGTTTTCATTTCAATTTGTGTTTTAGATTCTTGTAATCAGTCCTTCTGGTGTGCCATTGAGGTTGGTGTTGGTGTCTTACTCAGTGTTCTCCGGATCGGTAGATACATTAATACATAAATACATACATGGAAAGAGAGACAGCGCGCGCAAGAACAGGGTGGGGAATGATGGGGAGAGAGGAGATTTACAGCACAGAATTGATCATGCCTTTCAGAGGACTGGCCGGTCTCAAATCTGTAGGTCCAGTGACAGCCTGGAAGCTCCTGCAGGTTTTTGTCCTAAGTAAGGATCTGGTAGCTTAATGGTTCCGAATCGGCTGTGAATCGCAAGGTCAGCAGTTTGAAACTACCAGCTGTTCTGCGGGAGAAAGATGAGGCTTTCTGCTCCTGTAAAGATTTACAGCCTCAGAAACCATGTACAGGGTCGCTACGAGTCAGAACCGACTCCACAGCACATAATAACAAAGAGAGCACATTCTGCCAGAATATGGTTTTAGAATGTGGAGGTGGAACATACCCTGAGGAAACTCCCTTTTGAATGGGCTTGTCATTTAGATTGCTTTGTGGAAACCGGTGACATTCCATAGTAGTAGTGTATCCTGGAACAGCAACTAGCCTGGGCCCCAGAGTCTTGCCGAGATGACACACAAAACTAACGGTCATGGCAAGCACAGGGTAACAAGCTTATGACAGAGTCACGGAGCTAAGCGTGACCCAGAGGTGAGACGTGAACTTCCTACATGGTCACCCCCACATCCCCACAGAGGTTGTGTTGATGGACCGCTTTCCTGTGTCTTTCCAGGCTGCTAAAGAAGAGTGGTCTCAGACCCTCTGGATCAACCTGAACGTCCAGTTTCTCCAGGAAGGGATTGATACGTTTCTCAGGTCTCTCAGGAAGTTCCCCAGGCAGGTCCGCAACCTTTCGGTAGCCTACTACTTGGAAGCAAAAATGAAGGCATTCAAAGACTCGATTCCATTACTCCTGGACCTGAAGCACGAAGCCCTAAGAGACAGGTGTGTGTTGTCTCCTGTAAACGAACTGGAGGGTAGAGGGGGAGGGGGCGCAGACAGAGTATGAGTCCTCAGCCCAGCAGTGCAGGCCTTGAAAAGGTAAGAAAATCTTCAGTAGTGGTATTTCTATATGAAAGTGTCTGTGGGAAAAAAAAAAATGAGTGTATCCTAGAAATAGGAAAGTGCTGGTGTGGTGCTGTGAACAACAAGGTCAGCAGTTCAAACCCAGGAGCTGCTCCTTGGAAACCTTATATACAGGGTCGCTGTAAGTTGGAACTGATGAGATAGCACTTCACAACAACAACAACAAAAAGGAGAAGGAAAACCCTGTCAGACTTCCAGTGGCATTTGCAGTTGATTCATTTGAAGACTGAAAAAAATAAAAAAAGGACCAGATCCCCGAAACTGTTGCCCTGAGGTCATCTTTAAACGTTGAACCAAAAATATCCCCTGAAGTCCCCTTAAAAGCAAACAGTAATTTAACTTGACTCAAAAAGCTGTGCTTTGAGCATGATGCTCTTTTTTTTTTAATGTTTTATTGTGAATTATGTGATAGTTTACATGGGAGAACATTAGTTTTACATTCATTGTATCGTATATTGTCTCTCATTGCCATGGTTACAATCCCCTCCATACAGTCCTTCCCCCCGTACCCCCCAGGTCTTCAGCACACAGTCCCTCTC